CAGACAGACATACAGACAGACATACAGACAGACATACAGACAGACATACAGACATACAGACATACAGACATACATACAGACACACATACAGACATACAAACAGACATACAGACAGACATACAGACAGACATACAGACAGACATACAGACAGACATACAGACAGACAGACATACAGACATACAGACATACAGACAGACATACAGACAGACATACAGACATACAGACATACAGACATACATACATACAGACATACAGACATACATACAGACACACATACAGACATACAGACAGACATACAGACAGACATACAGACAGACAGACATACAGACAGACATTCAGACATACAGACATACAGACAGACATACAGACAGACATACAGACATACAGACATACATACAGACAGACATACAGACATACAGACATACAGACAGACATACAGACATACATACATACATCCATACATGTGTGATCATGTGTGTATATATACCCTAATATACCTCAACCCAATGATGCTCAGCCCTCCAGCGCTCCTGCGCGCAGGAGCGAACCGTGCCTCAGCAGTTGCTGGCCATTCCCTGTGTGGATTGCGTGGACGGTTTGGCACATCATGCGGCCACTGGCGTGAATTCAGGTGCAAAACGAGTGGTTATTCAACGTAGCTATGGAAGACAATGCCCATGAAAATAGATGATTAAAACGATGATTTGCCTATTACAAATTGATTTTGCAATTCAGAGCTATGTTAAATTACCAGAGGGTGTATACATTATACATATATATATATATATAGTTATATATACACAATCTCTATGCATGTAAAGTTCCTGGTGGTTTTTAGATCACATCTCTATTTCTGTCATGTTTCCATTTTCTTCCCGGGGAAACATGTGAAGAAAAGTATCCGGTTGCTGGTAAGTGAGTGATAGGCATTGTTTTTATTCCCTGGTTGTATGTAGTAGAATATATCAATTATACATCAGTTATTGACAAATATATCAGTTTTAATATGGACTATATACTACCTGGGCAATACATCAGTTATTAACCACAGGGGTGATTGGGACGCACCCCAGAGTTGGAAAAACTGAGATCTTCCCCACTGCCAAGTTTGGTAGCATGAGAACCAATGTAAATGACGGGTCCAATTGTCCCATCATGAATCATGAACCGTAACCATTGATTGACCATTGATTAGCCATTGATCATCAATAATATCATTTTTATATCATTACCCATATTACCCTTCTCAATGAATGGTCACTATTCATGATCATTTTCACTGACCATGAGTTGACCATTTCAAAAACGCCACGACTTGCCGGACCAATGGAGGCCTCAGGGAACTGGCGAAACAACTGCGGGACGACATCCAAGTAGGTCTGCGCGTGGCACATTTGACGCTTCAAACTACGGCGTTAGACGCGACGGTTTTTTTGGATAGTGGGGATACTGGGGATATAGATGTTCAACAATGAAAACATGGAAAATGGTGCATTTTACCAACTGATCTCAGAATTTGGAGGATGGATGATTTTTGTTGGGACATGGAAGCTAAAAACGGACTTGAACCCTCAGGGATCCAACCATGGGGGGCATTCCCAAGTGTTTGTCTCGACAAACATTGGGTTTTGACAGTCAGAGATCAGAAATTAAGTGGACAAAGCCGCAGAAGATGGCGGGAGTAGACTTTTACCATTCTGGCAATTGCTGCTACTTTCATAGTGTTCAACTTGCATCTTGGCAGATTTGCCGACTGGGTCCTTGTCGAAATGCCATTGATAGATTTGGCAAATTGGATGGACGGTTGCCATTACGACAAATAGCTGTTTGTCCACTGAAGTCCACTGGTATCCCAATACTCCAACATAACCTCTGGTAAACGAACATAACTGACGTTACTATGGAAAATCACCATGTTTATATAATGGGAAAACTCACTATTTCTATGGCCATTTTCAATAGCTATGTTAGTTTACCAGAAGGTAATGTAGTAATGATACTGTAAGGCTATCACCAACAAATAGTAACATAACATCTTTGACCCATGTTTTTCAAACGGAAGCCCAGGAATCACCAGCTTCAACCGAATGACCAATGGCTTGGATGAATACGGCGCCAATCCAAAATCGCCGTTTGCAAACTCGACCTCGCGCTTATTATGTTCGTGCGCAAACACCTTTGAGTCATCTTTCAGAATGAGAAAGTGTAAATATAATATTATATTATATTATATTATGTTATATTATATTATATCATATTTACATACAATATATACAATATATACAATATATACAATATATTATATATGTATATAATGATACATATCTGTATGATTATATGTGCCAAAAAAGAGAGAGAGAGAGATCCAAAATCCGAAAATGCCCCTGTCACCCCATCCCTCTGTCGACGAGCCTAGCGAGGAAACACGTCACCAAAGAGTTGGGGGAGGACGTGGTGAAGCAGGAGGACCGCGGATGGGACGGTGCAGGTTGTGGCTCATCAACTTAATCCTTTGAGAATGAAATGAATCAATATATCTAATATATAATATATCATATAATATGTATGTACAATATATATAAATATATAATATAATATATATATACATATAACAGTGTATTTAATATAAAATATTATATAGATATATATATATATATATATAACATTAGCTTTTATATATAACATTAGATTTTATATATAATATTATATATATAACATTATATTTTGTTTAATAATATATGTATATATATAATATCTATTTTGTAATATTATAGTTATATGTATATACTGTATATATATATATATGTATGGATAACAGATATAGGTAACTGACTTAAGCAGGCAGTTTTGGTTTATTTGCAGGGTATCCAAGATTTTCCATGTGCGGGGGGAAACCATCGTCTCAAGACGCCGAAATTTTGCCGGCAGGACTACTTTTGCCTCGCTTCGGTTTCCCAAATGCTGTGGACAGGGAAATTTGCGGAATGGAGTAAAGGTTGGGAAGGGATTCTGCGGTTAGCAACTGGTTGGTTCATACTGTAGGTTTGCATATTCTGAAGTGGTTTTGCATCACGTGTTTTTTTCAAGTAGATGGGCAAATATTTTTTGCCTGTGCTATGCGTTTGTCAGACCATGTTTCTCACAATTTGCTATTGCCACAGGCCTGTTTCAACAACTTCCACGCATGCATGCGTATCTGTATAAACCAACATTATATATTCATGATTGACTTGCCTAAACTTACAAATTCTGTCATTTCTCTACAGTATCTCTCAGAGATTCAAGATTTTAGATCGACCCTTCAAACATGTGTAGAATGACCTCACTCTATTTCCTCATTTCGATCCATTGCAGTGTTCCAATATGAAGTGATTGTTGCAGTACTGCAGTACCCCATATGGCTATTATCGATCCTTACCATTCTTGAGGGGATGGACATCCATTTTACCAAGGTTCATTTGCCCTTCGACTGGGAAGCCATCGAAGAAGTGGACGGAGAAGAATCACTGCGCAGGATTGGAGCGAAACCAGTGGAGCAATGGTAGAACATCACCACACACCAGATGGATAGTTTATAAATCTTTATATCAATTGGTAAAATATCAATGGTAGAACATCACCACAACTTAATCTGAATTTCTATAAACGGGTCGATATTTGATCTAGCTAGAAATAGATTTCTTTGCAGGGTAAGATTGACTCATGAAATTTGCGTATGCCTTCGGAGACTGGATCCCTTTTGGATCCTTTTGGAACTTTTGGTAATTTCACCTGGTACGAGAAATCCCCTTTTTTTCTGTGAAAACATTGAGAACATCTACAACCCAAGGAGTTTCCATTCCTATCTGTGTTTACAGAAGGGAAAATAATCCATTGCACGTGGTGAAACACCATATAAATTTACACAATATTTCACCATATTTCACCTGAGCAATGGTGGTTTCTGGGAGTTATGTGTTGTCTTGCGTGCCTGGGATAGGATATGGGAGGAAATTCAACCCAATTGGAGGAGATGCCCAAAAAAAATGCACATGGAAAACGAAGTGGGCGCATCTTCCAAACCCTTTTTTTGATGATGCCAAAATCATCCTTGCTGGGTAGCAAGCGCCCCCGTCTTGATGGCTTAGATATGCTTAGATCATCTTAGATCTCTTGGGTAGTTCATTTACTCATGGCAAAATGCAAAGCTTATGGTTGGAGGGTGAAGTGCCCAATGTCTTGGTATATTTCCAGTACCGCTGTGTGCCTCGGCCCAACTGATGCAGGATAGCCCGTCCAAAGTATGTGGGATCAATGCAAAACCTCCCACCAACCAGCTTGAGTTGTGTTTATTTTGCTTGGTGGTTTTGAAAGCAAGCATGTGTGTTTCCTTTAAGTTTTTTCCTTGCCTGGCCTGGAATGATTAAGCCCAATTGACCATCATACATTTTCCAGCAAATCTGAACTACCGATCAATCCATAGTATTCATAGTGACTCTCCAACTACCTACATTAATTTCACATGTCGATATGTCCTACCAGATAGTGCCCGGCCCGCGCCAGGGCGGAAGTTTCGAAAATAGGAAATGGCTGTAGGAAATCAATGGCCTATAGGAACGTTTTTGAGATACAGAAGCCATGAGCGGTTGAAGTTGTGAGGTGCATCAACGAATGAGGAAATGGTGGTTGAGATGCCAATGAAATGACATGAGAGAATCCGTGCACAACTGAATGAATCAATGAACCAGCGAACCGAGGAACCAAATCAGTGAATTCATGAAACAAGGGTCAATGAAGCAGGCAAGCAATGACTCAATGAACCAACCAAGCAGTGAACCAATGAATCAATGAACCAGTGAATCAACAAATCAATGAATCAGTGAGTCAATGCATCAATGACTCGATGATTCAGTGAATCAATGAATCAACGAATCAATGTATGAATGATTTAGTGAGCCGATGAATCAATGAATCAGTGAATCAATGAACGACTGAAGTATAGAGTACAGTGGATGAATCAGTGAATCAGCAATGGTTCAGTGAATCAATGAAGCAATGAAATGATGATTCAGTGAATCAATCACTCAGCGGTTCGGTGATTCAGTGAATCAATGAACCAACGCACGGGTGAACTAGTGAGTCGATGAATCGATGAATCAACGCCTGAGTGAATGAGCGAGTCGATGAATCAACGAATCAGTGAACCAATGAACCACTGATTCAGCGAACCAATGATCAATGAATCAATGAACCAATGAATCAGTGAATCCAATGAATCAATGAACCAATGAATCAGTGAATCCACGAATCAATGAACCAATGAATGAAGGGATGGATGAATGAATGAATGAATGAATGAATGAGTGAGTGAATGAATGGATGGATGGATGGATGGGCGAGCTACTTTTCTTTGTTGAGCTACCTGCTACCTCTTCACTGAGCGACCTCTTCGCTGAGGCACCTGTTCTCTCAGCTACTTCTTCTCTGAGCAGCCACTTATCTGGGCTTCTGTAGCTTCACAGTTCTTCTCTTTGCGCAGTTGTTACACTGAGCGCAGCAAGCTCCAGCTGCAATCCCGAATAATAGCACAACAGTACCGCCGCTATGGTCAAGAACTGCCTTTCGCGAAGCTATTACAATGCGTTTAGCAACCTCCAGCTGCAATCCCACTTGCCATCACTCATGCTGTGCTGCGCGCAACCGTGCCAGTGCGTCTTGTCACAGCCGGTTGCAAACCCACATAGCAGGAGCGCCACACCAAATCGACCAACGTTCGCGCAGCGCTGACAATGGGGACTGGATCGCGCAAATCCGGCGCAGTCTGCGCACTTCAGTTTTTTGCGATTTTTTATGTGAAATCTAGCTCTCACTACAGTCTGGTGCACATTTTGCCGACCTCATCTTCCAAAAGTGTTCCGAGCGCTGCGCTGTTTTCAGATTTTGAAGTGCAAATCAAGCTCCCGCCACGGTCCTGTGCACTTTTTGCCGACAACTTTCCCAGATCCAGCCCCGAACCAGAGGAAACAGAGACGGCGACCCCAGGAGCCGCTTTACCCCAAAACACAGGGGTTCGCGCCGGAGAGTGTTTTACCCGTGAATTCACACGCGTCCGAGTTGTTACGCTTCCCAGCTACTTGATGATGGGTGGTTGACATGCAGATGTGGTTGACATGATGATCTGGCTGACACGATGGTGGGAATGCTAACCATGACAAAAGTCCGTAACTCGGAAGTTTCCTAACTAAACTTCCTTTGGTTAGAAAAATCATAGATTAGGGCCTATGGTTTGACCTTTTTTTGTTTTCCATGTCGCAGTTTGCCGCAGGAAAGACCTCTGGAATCAGATTGACCTTTGCATCACCGCCACTGGCGAGGTGTCCGTTATGCAATGTTTGATGTCTGCCACGGGGGAGGCAACCTTATCCCCAGGATTCCCCAGGAATAATTGGGATTTGATTTAACTGATGTTGTTGATTTAACTGGTTTACTGATTTAAGTGGCTTAAGTGCTTTTCACTCATTTAACTGATTTAACGAGTTTACTGATTTAATCAGATTTTTTTGATTAACTGATTGAACGTGTTTATTAATTCGTCTGATTACCTGATTTAACCACTAAACATGGGCTAAAATTAACTGAAACAACCTTTTCATGGTGATTTATTGAAGGTATAATGGGATTTATGTGAATATTTATACATACATACATACATACATACATACAGTTTAATATATATATATGTAAATAAACATATATGTAAATATATATATATACGTATTTACATATACATATATATGTAAATATATATACGTATATATATATACACATATGTAAATATATAGATATATACATATGTAAATATATATATATATATACATGTATATATATATAATTACATATGGTCACCAATACATGATTTTGATATTTTGGGTTTGTTCAAAAAAGGCGGCGTATCCTAAAAGAATCCAATACTGCCACGCTGCAAAGGAAAATGATGATAGTTGATTGGAATCAGGGGTAGCTGATTTTAAGACGCAGTCATTAAAATCCTTGGTGAAACCCTAAGACATGATCTACAAGTGGTGAATTTCTATGTGTAACTCAAACTGCTACAGTTTCCGGACAAAGAAACAATTCTGTAGAGGCGAACGCTCAAAGGTCTTTGACTTTTCTACCGGTTTGATCAAACTTCATTCTAGGTATACTACAGGTTTCAGATCCAAAAGAGCTCAGAAACATATTCTGGCCGCTTTGCGACAACAACCGCCCGCACCGGAGTATTAGCTCCAATAATACCATGTATGTTCTATGTTGAGCCTTTGTAGGGCGCATGTTGGGAGTATGTTGGGCCCATGTTGGCTCTGTGTTGGGCCTGGGCCGATGTTGGGCCTATGTTGCCATGTTGGGCGATTTTGGGTCCATGTTGGGCCTATGAGGCATGTCGGGCCATTTTGGGCCCATGTTGGGCCTATGCTGGCGCGTGCTGGGCCTCTGTTGCACCCATTTTGGGCCATCTTGAGC